TTTTTTTTTTTTTTTTTTTTTTTTTTTTTTTTTTTTTTTTAAGTCTAACCCGCGAAGCTTTAGTGCTTGTCTGCAGGTTTATAGGTTTATACCGTATGTTCTTATAACAATAGATTAACTTATACCTAGGTGTTGTGATAGCAAGTTGCAAATGTTTTGCTTATTATTATGGATGTTATGCTTTCAATAGGTTTAAATGACTTATCAAAACAGGTTTTAAATAAAAAGTAGTTACATAAATAAATTATGATACGCAGAAGTTTATTCAGTACAGATTTTAATGCCAGTTTGATAAAAATTTGTTTAATATTGTGGTAGCTTTTGTGGTAACCTTTGTTTTCAGAATTTGACTTTATCACAATAAGCTCTTAAAATGTCTTTTAATTAAAGTTTTTCGTTTGAACGTGTTTGGTAAATTTGTTAAATGTAATGGAAGCGCATTAAACAGAGATGGAATTACTACCGAAAGTGAATTTTTGGAATAATTGTTCGTGAATTTTGGAACTGAAAGCCTGTTTTCAAGGCGCCTTCGTGTTCCATGGTTGTGGGAAATTGGTATTTTCAATGCGTTTTCGTCATAGAATTCATTTAGAATCGATAACTTATAAATCGACTTCACATCTAATAAATCTAATTCTTTGTTCAGGTTTGTAAGTTGGGAATATATATTTCTTTTCTTTGCTAGTATTTTCAAATTATAATTTTGACTTTGTTGTAGTTTTCTACAATGTACTGATGAGCCCCATGCAGTGATACCATGCCTTAAATACGATTCGGACAAAGATAAATATGCATGATATAGAACACTGTAATTTGCGCAGAAGGTCAGATGCTTTAGGAAATAAGCCGACGATCGGAGCTTTTTTTGTAGATGAGAGATGTGCAGGTTCCATTTAAGGTATTCGTCAAGGATAACGCCAAGATATTTAAACATATGTACGGTGTCTATTTTGGTTTTACAATCGCAAGGCGTCATGTTTTTATGCAAACACTCATAATTATGGAAAACAATATTAAGTACAGAACTGCGAATATGGGGTGGTCTGAAGTGCATTATTTTAGTTTTAGTCGCATTTATTACTAACCCGTTATCATGCGACCATTTGTTTATTATATCGAGCTTGCGTTGCATAATATTCATTGCAGAGTTGATGTCTCTATGTGGTACCAGAATTGCTGTGTCGTCTGCGTATGCAAACACTTCACTATTATCAAGAACCCTAAGCAAGCTATTCGAGTATATTATATAAAGTAACGGCCCTAGCTTAGACCCTTGGGGTACTCCAAAAGACACCGTTTTCCGACTACTGTAAGAATTTTGCAGTTTCACACTATATTCCCTTAGTTCAAGGTAGCTTTTAAACCATTTCAGGCATTCCCCCCTTATACCCACATTCTCTAAGGCAGCAAGCAATTTTGCATGAGATAGTGTGTCAAATGCCTTGCTAAAATCTATAAAGAGGGCTAGTATGTGATAATTTTTTCCCAAATTTTCATAAATTTTGCTTGAAAATTTACCCAGCAGTTGATTAATATTCTTATCTTTTTGGAGCCCATACTGTCGGCTGTCGATAATATTGTATTTTTTAACATATTCGGTTAACCTCCTAACAATAATTTCTTCCATAATCTTCTCAATAATTGGTAAAATGGATATAGGTCTATAGTTACGAGTATCAGATTTGATCCCCGACTTAAATATAGGTCTTATTACAGATATTTTAAGATCTTTAGGTACTATACATTGAGAGAGGCTCAGATTTATCAGTTTCGCTATTATGGGTGCTATCGCAGGTGCTATCAATTTGAAATCCCTTGGACGAATTCCGTCGAAACCAGGACCTTTCCTGTCGTTCAGTGTTTGTATGATATTGAATATTTCATTGCCGCACGTTTCTTCAATAAACATTGAGTTACGCAATCTAGAGAAAGATATAGACAAATGTATACATAAATGATCAGAATGAAAAGAGAAATCGATTAAGCGGTGACTGTCTGTCCGTCCGTCCGTCCGTCTGTGCACACGATAACTCGAGTAAAAATTGAGATATCTTAACGAAACTTGGTACGTGGACTTCTTTTGGGCATAGGACGGATGGTATTGAAAATGGGCGAAATCGGACAATAACCACGCCTACCTCCCATATAACGGTAATTTTCAGAAATACGAAAAGTGCGATATTTTCGTGACTACTGAAGATTATTCACTCAAAATTGATATTTACAATGAGTTTTAGACGAAAAATAAGAATATTAAAAAATTTTGGCAAATGGGCGTAGCCACGCCTACTTATGGTCACATGTGTATATCTTGGTAACCGCTGCACCAATATCTTCCAAACTTGGCACAGTTGTTGGTCCTGCTACAACATACCAAATGGCCGAAATTTTTTAAAATCGGACAATAACCACGCCCACATCCCATATAACGGTAATTTAGAAAAATACGAAATCCTCGATAAGTCAGTAAATATTAAAGCTAATTTATTCAAAATAGATGGTGGCAACAATTTTTTACCAAGAAATACGCTTATGATACAATTTTAGAAAATGGGCGTGGCACCGCCCACTTATGATCACATATATGTATCTCGCTAACCGTTCTAGCAATTTGTACCAAACTCGGTATGGTTATTGTGCTTGCCACATAAAAGCAAAGCGTTGAAAATTATTGAAATCGGACTAAAATTACGACCGCTTTTTATATAACGGTATATTTCAGAAATGCTTGAAACTGCAATATTTCGAAATTTAAGGACGCTAATTTACTTAAAATTTATACACCCCGGCTTATCGTGTAGCGGTAGCTTTCGGAAAGGTGGAAAACATATATTAAATAATTGCGCCGGGTATTTAATGTTCGGCTCCGCCCGAACTTAGACTTTCTTACTTGTTAGATTTTACTTTTTTATAAACAACATATATCTTCTTATTTCATTTAATTTTTAGGATATTATTTAATTTTTTGCCTCTTTTCATAAATTTTTTTTTTTAATTTTTAGATTTTGTTTTGAAAATAAAAATATTTTTTTTTATTATTTATTTTTTAGCTTTTAAGTATTAGATATTTTCTCTTTTTGATTTAATATATTTTTCCAATTATTATTAAATTACATTTATTTTTAAAAATATTTTGTTTATTTTTGCTTTAGTTTCTTTTTAATTATTTTTTATTTAATTTTAAATAAAATAAATTTTTTGGTTTTAATAAGAAAAATGTCTATAATTTTTTTTTTAATTTAATTTAATTAAAAAAAAAAAACTAGTTGCTAGAAGGCCTTTAGCATAACGCTAAGACCTCCTCGAAACTAATAAAGATCTTTCGAAATATAATAAAAAGCTTTGAAGATAGCTGCCAGAATTTACAATTGTCTTACGAAAGACATTTGTGAGTTGAAAGACAGTTGCCAGAACTGCCTTGTTCGTTGAAAACGATGTAGAATCTGCGCCACTATGCTGATAAGATAATCAAGTCTCTCTAAGCACTTAAAAAGTATTTAAAGCTTTAGAACTTACCAAAAGAATATTGCATATTTAATATCGAAATAAAGTCAACTCTAGAGTTAGGTGCAGCATTTTTTTTTACACATCTTTCATTGAAAATTAGGTCAAAAAGTTGCAACTAACTGTAGGGACGACTTTATTTTGACTCCGAATATTTATGCCTCAATAACTCGCTGCCTACAATTGTGGCTTCTTAAGTTTATCGCTCTACATATGCGATATTGTGTCCAGTAACCGAAAGTCTTTACCGCATTTTCAAGCCTACTCAAGTTTACTACAAAATCCGCTTAATACTTCCATTCAATCTAAAATCATGAATAAAATCTTGAAGTGTTTTTTTTTTCTGAAGGAGCTTGATAAATAATAAATCCAGTGTGTCAAGCGTAATCCCAGCAAGAAATACACATGGAAGTTATGCTACGTTACTCGCACTAAATACCCCCGCCCTCAGCTTAAATACAATAAATATTTTTTTATTAACTAGCAAAATCAATATTTTGCTTTTAGCTTTGCTCCATCAAAAGAAATTACAATGTGATAATATTAATCTACTTTGTTTGCCATTTCGCACACAAAATCAAAATCGATTTACTTTGCCTTATGGTAATGCTCCGCTTGCCACATTTCGTTGCCAACTA